TTGGAAATTGTTGCTTCAATGCATTTTATTCTCATTCCAAGTTGTACACGGAAATTGCTTATTTATTTGGGATTGTTCGCGCGTAGCGAAAAAGTTCAAACATCTAATGGCATAATTCCCAGCACCTCTCTCTCCGCCCACTCCCTGCTGTTGCCCTGACATCTCCTTGATGGCAACCTGATGAACAGTGTCCTGTCCTGTACGTTCTTTTTTTTTTTTTCGTTCTTTCGTTCTTTCTTTCTGGTCACTCGGGGGCAATAAATTTCCATGAAAATTGCTTTGGTTTTCCAACTGCATTGCCCTGTGACAGACAACTCTGTCGTTTGTTACTACAAAATTCAATGAATATTTTCTTGTGCGGAGAGACAAACAACAGCAAAAAAAAAAAAAACAAAAACGGAAACGAAAAAGAAAATGCATTTTCCCCATGGGATTTAGTTGCTTTCTCGGTGACAAGTGAAAGTGTTTCGACACACTGGGCAAAATAAAAGTTGATATTTTTATGGACTTATTTAACTATTTTTTAGCTAAGAAAAAATAAACAAAAAAAAAGTTAAATTGTAATGAAGTTTTTTTTACACTTAAAATTATTTGAATTTCGCCCAGTTTTTTCGCAGTGCAGCTACACTGAATAAATGTATTTTGCATGCACTGCAGTTCCAATAAATTTTCCATACTTGTCAACTGCTTGTCCCAAAGGAAAATTCATTCAATTTGCCCAACCATCGACAGCCACGTTTCGGGCTCTTAAATTCTTAATTGCAGTGGACGAGGAAATCGGCAAAGGCAGTGGCAGAGGCTGAGTGCTGAAAAATGTTTACACAAATATCAATAACAATAAATTGTATATTTATTGCGGGCTGTTGTGGGCAAACAGGGGGGGAGGGGACCACGAAGATACAAACACAAAATACAAATTAATATATTTTCCAAGGAAAAACAATTTGCCTTTATAGAAAATATCCCCCAAGCGCCCCCCCACCCAAACCGAAGCCCGAAGCCTTCACAACAATTTGTCTTGCTTAATCTCAGTTCATTAATTTAAAGTGCTACTTTTGCTACAGTAGAACATCGAAGACCGAAGAAGCAGACCCAGGCAGGAGTCTCCTTCTGCCTTCTGCCAGATGGACCTTGGCTGTTGGTCAAGGAATGTTACCTCCCCATTCACACCCAAAAACAAACATTGTTTAAAACATCTTTCTGTGTGGCATTTTGAGGTTTTGTTTTCTCCAGCCAACAATTTTAGTTCCATTTGGCTAAGCATTTTGCAATCATTGGCAGGAGCCGAACCCCGAACCCTGAGCTTCAGGATTAGGGTCGAATTTAGCTGGCATTGTGGTGTGGCATTGCTGCTCTGTTGTGTTGTGTCTTTAATAATTCATGAGCTCATTCTTGTGGCTGACCTTCACAATTTTTGGGGTCAATTTAACCAATGAACCAATGAACACCCCCCCGCCTGAAGCAGTGTCAGGCAGCACCAGCAGCAGCAGCAGCAGTCGCCATCGCCTTAAGGCCATCTGTCAGCTAAAGACCCACCCTGACAGACAGACGGGGGGAGCAAGGAGCAAGGAGCTCTCTGTCTCTCTCTGGGTGTTGCATTTGTCAAAGGCTGAGACTGTGATTTGAAGACGAGGACAAAGGCCAAGAATTGATTGGATTTAGGGCTGCACTGCAGGGCTGTCTATTGCTACAGAAATTACTGAGCGAAAAATCAGGGAAATATAAGACTTGAATGAGGAATATGTAAGTGGAAAGATTTTGCAGGAATGTGAAGACTATTTGATAATTTTTGGAGGGTAACTTTGTTGATTATATTGCAGATTTGGAGGCAGAAATTCTAGATGCTCCTTTTTGTTTAAATTTATAAAATTTGAATTATATGAAGATAAATTTTAGACTAGAGACGACGAACGAATTTATCACTTAATGAAACTAATAATTCGGGTGTTTTTTATGGTTAAGGAAATATCTAAAAAATGTGTAAATATAATATAATATATAATATAATATAATAATATAAATATAATATATAAATATAAAAATAAAATAAATAAATAAAAATATATTAATATAAATATTTATATATATTAAAATTTGATATGTGAATGCAACCTAAAATGATGCACTTAAAAAAGAATCGGTCTACCCCATTAATACTGCTCGAAAGCCAGGTGTTCAAATATCAAGATGGGACAGGCCTTGCCATAATAATGATCCGATTGCAACGTGTTGCTGGGAAAATATTCGATTTAAAAATGGATAACGCAAAGAGAAAGTCTGCCAATTTTGCTATTAAATTAAACTTGTGTGCTCGCTCGTTTGGCTTCTCATCTTTCGCCACTGCCTCTTTGGGGCCATTCTTTCTCACTTTGCTCATCTTTCCTGGCCATCTTTCCACCGCTCTCTCTCTCTCACTGTCTCTCCCTCTCTGTCTCTGTCTCTCTTTTGGCCATCTCTTAATTTCATCAAATTAAATTGGCTTCTGTGAAAGCTGCTGGTGCCTCGCATCTACCAGCCCCAGCCAGCACACGCCGCACACCCTACCATGCCCGCCCCCCTTCTAATGGTAAACGCCTTAACACCTGAAGGGGCCCCAGCAAACAATCAACTAAAGCAACAAGCACACACAGACGCACAGGAAACGCACACAGATACGCACATCCACAGAGAGTGAGAGAGAGAGGGGCATGGTGTAGAGGGGGGGCCCATGCTCGAATGAGTCAAAGTCCCAGAGTCGGCAGGACTCCCGTGTCGGTTACTTTGCAGCTGCCAACGCCTTCAACATTTCACGCTGTAAGACACACTCCCCCTGCCCCACCCCCACCCAGGCACCTCCACGCTGGCTGTGCCCTGCCCTGCATCCATCCCCCCCCTTGTGGAGCTGCCATCACCTGCAGACGACCCCGGGAAACACATTTTTTATGCGTCCTATTTGCAGCTTTCATGCTTCGACTGCGTATCCCAGCCGCCGGCATTTCAACGACGTCGCGAATGCAAGTTTTTGCTCTTTCTAGTACGAGTAGCAGGTGGAGCAGGTGGAGGAGTAGCAGGCCCGGAGGGGAAGTGTGTATGGGGCGTGGGATGCTCGGGCTGAGCAGGGGGCAAGGGTTTAGTAGCGTGGGTCGCTTGGGTGTTCATTGCGCGAATTTTTTTTTTTTTAAAGTAAATAACCAAAAACTGAAGTGCAGACCGGCCGTTGAAATTTTTATGCACAACCAAAAATGAAAAATGAAAAATAAAAAACGTAAAGAAACTGGAAAAAAAAGAAGGGTAGAACGAAGATTGAGATACCCTAAAGAGAAGGGTATTAAAAATAGTAAGAGCCTATGCAAAGAAATATTTCAAATTTGGTGGACAAATTCGCATATTAATAGCAGGAAAATATTTCCCCTTTCCCCTAAACCTTTCTTGAGGATAATCAGCAAAAATAATCTCATAATTTATTTTAGATTCATTCCTTGCCTGTGCACATCCCGCACCCAAAGTGTAATACCCCTGCCCCCAAAAAGGGTATCAAAGGAAGAAAAAAACGCGTTGCAGTGTGCAAACAAATGCAACTAAACATGAGAGAATAGGTGCGAGCACATGCATGTACATACGTACATGTGTGTGCTTGGACATGTGTGTGTGTGTGTGTGGAGTCGTGGGTGTAAGTCACACATACATATATGTATGAGCAGCGGTGTGTGTGGGTGCATGTGCGTGTGTGTGTGCATATATTTGTAAAGTTTCTTTGCCCAAACGCAAGCATTTGCTGCTTTTACTTCCTTTTTTTCGCTCCCTTTTCTCACTCCCCTTTCTCACCCACCTTTCTCACTCCCACTTTTCTGTATTTTTGTTGCTTTTGGTTTGGCTCCTAAAACGGCAGGAGGCGCTGTTTCGCAATACTCTTGCCAGAGTGGGTTTCTTCGTTGGGCTATAAAGTCGAAGGTGTGGGCATAAGCTAATTGGCAGGAACATTTGTGGCTGGTGGATGCTTTGAAGAAAGCAAATTCTCTTATGTGAAATGAAGAAAGTGTGCAGCCAGGAAGAGAATAAACCATAATAAAAACAGGCAAGTAATGGCTTAAAAAAAGCGAGAAATTTAAGAGAATAAATATAAAAATAAAAAAAAATAAAAAGAACCAGATTTCATTATCAATTAAAATATTGTCAGATAAAAGGAAACTATGTGACCTATGGGATGGGGCTATGGTAACTATACAGGATTTCGATGGTTCTAAAGAAATATTTAAGCAGATTGCTCCATGAAGTTTTCTAAATTATTTTCGCACAATTTTTGTATTTATCAATCAATCAATTCCAAATGTATTCTGCCTTTTTGTGCCGCGAAGAGAGTATCCGTGCTTCCCTAACATTCACATTGCTATTACTTCCGCTTTTCTTTCCTTTTTGTTTTGTCTCTGGCGCTCTCTGGCGTCGCCAACAGTTTTAAAAAAATGCAAAGCTACGCCCAGAACGCCCAGCACGCCCACTATGCCACCGCAGCAGCATTGGCAGCAGAGAGGCAGAGGAGCAGCAGCAGCAGCAGCAGCAGCAGTAGCTGCAGTGGCAGTGGCAGCAACGGTAGCATAAATTTCCATTACCGTTGACAAATATTTACACATCGACCTCAATTCATATTCCTTTTGATGCTGTTGCTTTTAGTTTTGCCAGGGAAAACCCGCAACCCAGCGACCAGTGCGCGCGGAGGGTGGCGGGGAAGGCAGTTGCAGCATAGAGGGAGGGGCAGGATGGATGGGAATGGATATATAGGGGATACCCTTTATGCACTTTGTTGCTGTTGCTGCTGCACAGTTGTAATGCCGCAGCAATCGCCGCTGGCTATTAAAAGCTGCATTTAGCAGTTGTATCTTTTCCATCTCATCCATCTCTTCCATCTGTGTATCCTCTGTACCTGTGCTGTGTATCCTCTGTACCTGTGTTGTGTATCCTCTGTACCTGTGCTGTGTATCTACGTTTTTCTGCTACTGGCTGTAACAGGCAGTAGGCCTTTGGTTTTGAGTTCACAAAAGCACACACAAAGTTTACCGCCTCCCCCCACATTCGACGAGAGCAATCATATTCGTAGCCCCCAACCGATTCGAAACGGAGAAATCCCAACTACAACAACCACAACCAAAATACTGCAGCAAAAATGTTTGAAATTGTCTGTTACATTTGCGTGGCATTCATGCTGGGATTGCTCATTGGAATGCCATCGATGGGTGATGCGGAGCCATTTAATGAACGTTTGACCATCTATGCGGATCCGGGACGCATGGAGTGCTTCCATCAGCCCGTGGCTGCCACAGAGATCATCAAAATGGACTACCAGGTGATTGCTGGCGGCCATGGCGATACCGACATTAACTTTACGCTCATGGATCCCACGCGCAAGCTGCTGGCCGCCGACAAGAAGAGGGACAAGGGCAATATGGAGCATGTGGCCGAGGAGACGGGCGTCTACCAGTTGTGCTTCGACAACACCATCAGCACCTTCAGCCAGAAGATTGTGTCGTTTTCACTGGAGGTGGCACCCGCTGACCACGAGGAGCAGGAGGTGCGCGATCTGCGCAAGGAGATGCTCACCGATTACCACTTCGAGACGATCTTCACCGGTCTCAGTGACTACATCAACAAGGTGCAGGTGAATCTGATGCGCTCGCGGCAGACACAGGACTACATACGGGCGCACGAGGCACGCGATCGCAAGCTGGCCGAATCCAACTACGAGATGGTCAACAATTGGTCGTGGGCCCAGTTCCTGGCCATGATCTTTGTGGGCATGCTGCAGGTCTTCATGCTGCGCAGCATTTTCAGTACCAATGGCACGCTCCACAAGCTCTGGCAGCGTTTCTAAACGGGAGTTTTTCTGATGATTTGTGTGTGTTGAATAAAGTAAAATTAGCCATGGAAATCGGAAGGGAATATCAGAAAAAGAAAGAAGGAATGATGGAGATGCTGCAGTGCGGAAATCGATGCTGAAGTAACCTTTGACTGTACTGTCTGTGTTTACTGTTTGTGTTTAGTTAAAGGGTTTCTGGATGCCCCAACATAGGAAGTTTCCATGTTTTTCCTACAGGAGACATATCCCTGGTGTGTTCCCTGTTCCCTGCAATTGAATGCCGCATCTATGCAGCTTTTATCTTGTTTTCTTTTGGACTTGAATGTTTTATCTGGCACTACTCCTTGCTGCCGCCTTTACTGAATCTTTAGCTAATCGTTGCAGGTTTTATCTCCAGCCTTAAATATTTCTTGCCATTCATTTCGGTTTCCTTCTTGGAACTAATCTGTGTAGCTTTTATGCTGTTTCCTTAGCTTTAGCCCGCTGATTGTGTGGCTCCTTCTAACAGCAATTTACACTTCCGTTTCTTCTTTCATTTACCTTTGCTCCTTGGTACCCTACCCGCTACTGCTGCTGCTGCTGCTGCTACCTCTGTGGCATGCCACGCCCCGCACTGCCACCGCTGCGTGTGTTGCAGCATTGTTGGCGTAATTAACGACTGCGGCGGTTGCTTCCCGGTTCCCATTGTGTTTACCCAGTGCCAGTGCCAGCTCCAGCTTCGACGCAGTGTTAATTACTCCCCAGCGTCGCACCTCCACTCTCCCTCCCGCTCATCTGCTGCGCCCCTACATCCTTCCTCCTGGGGGGCTTACTGACATAGTGGCTCACTTAGCCTTCGCTGCGAGCTGCGAGCTGCACCTCTCCGACTCTCCCACTGACTCTGACTCTGACTGCGCCGCATGGACTTTTGGGTGAGGCGGCGCCACCACCAAGCGTTGACAGGGCTCCCAGGCGCCAGTAAAAGGTGCAAATTAAAGCGCCACCTGTGGCCAGCCAAGTGCTTCAGCGAGGCAAGTGTCGCTGTCTGTGTGTGTGTCCAAGTGATAATGACACAAAGAAGAAGGCCCTGCCATAAGTGGCGAAGCTGCAAATACTCTTGCAACCTTTTTTTTGTTTTTGTTTTTTTTTTGCTATAGCCGATTTTAATTAAATTTGTTAGAAATGTGTAGAGACTATCTGCTATCTGTTTGATTGCCAAGTTTTAGTATTACATTATATATCTTGTATATACAAATACAATTATTATCTATATTATATATCTATATCCTGCTGCGCCTGGACTATTTTTTCGCCTGCTGTACCATATATTATGACGAAAATTATATTGAAATGCAAAATATTTCTGGTAGAGGTCCAAGCTACAGTAGCTTCAATTGGCTGCCATATAAAAACCACATTTAAAATTATAGTAATGGGAAAATTTGTAGAGCAGAACAAGTTGTTTTCCCTTTAGAAGTTGTGTAAGGACTGTAAAATAAAAGAATATTACTTCAATTAGAAAAACATTTCAAAAATCTATATTCCTTTCGGTTCAAAATAATTTTTCCCATAAATTAGCCCTTAAATATCTTTAGGCGTATTACAGAACACTGTTCAGATCCCTGTAATTGCAGCTTCAGTATACGCAACCAAGACCAAAAAGATGCTTCACAGCTATAGATAGCTTCACAGAACAGCTATAGATCTGGAGTCGTAACATTAGATATCGAGGCAGCTAATATTACGAGGCATCAACATCAAAACATTTGTGTACTTAACCTCAATTGCTAGGCCACACTGGGAGAGGAAAAAAAAGAATTTATTTTCAAAGTGAAAACACTTTTTGCGTAGAGTATAATAAATAAATATGTATGTATGTCCTTCGTTGGCTTGCAATTATGGCGGACAGACACACCCTGGCACTGGCACTGGCACGGGCACTCGCTGACGTTCCCAGTCCCCTGATCCCCTGCCACACACGGAATCCATGCATGGAATTATACCCCAAAAAGAGAGAGAGAGAGAGAGAGAGGGGAATAAACATACGCATACTCGTATTTTTCGTATATTTCTTGGCCATTTAATGCTGGCCGCATTTCAATGGCAGTTTTACTTTACACTTAAGTGGCATTTTAAAGCCAGGCCGGGGCTATGGAACGGGCGGATGCGATCGTTTATCAGTGCCACACAGGATATGGCGGAGGACTCGACTCGGTTTGGTTTGGTTTGGTTCGGTTCGGCCCATTGGCATTGCTGTTAATTTCATTACACGGACTGCAAATGCTGCACAATCGTAAAAACGGACATTTAATTGCAGCCTGGCAAACGATGCAAAGGCGTCGGCAAATGGCGCGGCGTTGGCCTTTTTAACGATCAAATTATGGCCGGCCGCTGTATTACACGTACAAGAAAAAGGCTGAGAAGAAGTCACAATGGCCGGGCCGAACAGGGCAGGACAGGACACGGGGCAGCTGGGCAGCTCTTTCGTCAGACGTAATCCGCGTTGTTGTCCAGCGTTGGTGGGGAGGGGGGCCTGGCTGGCGCCAGCAGCTGTCATCGTCCTGCCGTTCACTGAAATCTCCTTCGATGCTTAATGAGGGACATGCGAATGGGCAGGAAAAAAACAAACTTAAGCACTGACAAAAATGTATTTAAAGTGGGCTTGGCTTGGCTTGGCTTTAAGTTGCATTTTAATATCTGTACATTTATGAGTGGCAGCAGCAGAAGGCAGTGGCAAGTGGCCAGAAGGCCAGTGGCAAGTGGCCAGTGCCAGAAACAGAGTTTACCTCAAGCATTAACAGATTAGAGCACAAATATTCGCAAATTGGAAACCTCAATAAACAAAACGAAACAAAACAAAAACCAATCTCTGAGCAAACATAAATACTTCTCGTTTATGTTTGCCGGGCGGGCGTCAATTGACAAAATATTAATGGAAAAGTCAAACAAATAAAATTCAATATGCCCCCACAAAGAGATGCAGATAGATATAGATGTGAATAGAAAGCGATAGAGAGAGAGCGAGAGAGAGAGAGAGCGAGCGTATTCTGTGACTGATAAACCAGAACCAAAACGAGCCCCTAAACACAGGAGTCTTGTATGCCACAGGGGCTGGGCTGCCACAAAAGGCCAAACAGAGTGAGCACAAGGTGGGCAGGAGGAGGGCACAAATGTGCAGCAATAAGCATTTGAATATATGTAGAATATATTTGGTTTATGCCACAGCACGAGCCCTGAATGCAGATGATGATGATGACAACAGCAACTGCAACAGCAATGATGGGGCATGCAACGATGTTAGATTAAGTACCTGAGGCGAGGCTCGCTCTGTGGCTCCTGTGTGGCTCCTGTGGCTCTGTGGGAGGTTGCATACAAAAGATGCATAGAACGTAAAGCTTTTCAAATGCATTTCCCTTGGCATTTCCCCCCCACACACACACACACACACACGCAAATGCCAAATGGATGTAAGGTTGAGAGGTTATTAAAATCGTTTCAGCATTTTATTTGGTAGGTAATCAAAGTGTGCCAGCTATAATGATGTGTTGCAGAAAGTTCTAGAGGTTTAGGGCCATTCTTGCATTCCAGAAATTCCGCCACAGAAGCTCTTGAGATTTCAGCAGCACCTTCAAACGATTTTCAGCTGCCTTGGGGCACGAGTAGGGGTGGGCGAGGCAGGGCATTCCCCTGCTAAACAATCACCATTATGATGTGGTCGACCACATCAGCGGACCGAACCGAACCGAACCGGACTGGACCCTCATTAGCGTTTCATGAATATGGCATTTGGCATATGGCATATGGCAAATGGCATCTGACAACTGGCAACATTGTCTTTGTAATGCAATCACTTTGCTGGTGTGTCAAATGTGGCATGTGGAATTGCATTAAGCCGCAGCAACGCCGATGCATCAGGTCTGACGTCATTTGGGGTTTTGCAAACAATAGAAACGGGCAACGGGCAACAGGCAACGGGACAGCATAATACGCTTGAAGATGTGTTCCAGTTGGAGGCTGGAGCTTGCAGATAAATACAAGATTTAATTTTACTTTATTTTAAAGTTGATTTAAATACAAAAGAAATTCTTGAAAGTCCCTCAATAAATTATGCGCCTACTTATCAATTATTGTGATTCTCACATGCGCCTGAATTACCCGAGTAGCCAAGGACTAATTTACGATTCCATTTTATCACCAAAGCTCACGTGTTGTTCCGGAGCCTTTCATCTCGAATGGAATCGCATTAAGAATGCACGAATTATATAGTGACTGAGAGGGACTGGGGGAAGGAGGAAGGAAGGAGGCTGGGAACCTTCTTCATTATGCAACACAACTGACATATCAAGACATATGCCAGGAGCTGCCACTAAGAACCTTAATGCTCACTCGAAGGACTCTGCCGCGCTCTCCTCCTCCTTGCTATAGACACACATTTACTCGTATATTCTTTTTATTTTAGGGGCGTTTTAATTGCAAACTGGCACACAATGAACATTTTGGATCCGGGGCCGCCTATCGCCTTGGCAGGCTTTGGCCCTTTGGTTGTGGCGGCCTTCTTCTGACGGCCTCCATCGCCTACTCCATTGACGGGCCGGGCCGGGCCATTAGGGGCGGCGGTCGGTCAAGTGGTTCTTCTCCTTCCATTTGGTAGGTGGCTACACAATCAAGCGAACAAATTGGGTTACTGCTCAACTGTCTGGTTAATGGCTACAATGACACAATTAATTGCATGTTGGAGGCCATTTACAGCACGGGCGATGCCTCAATGGGCACTGGCACTGGGCACTGGCACTGGGCACTGCCCTTTGCCTCCTTTGGCTGCCAACATGAATTGAGTTTTGTGCAAAAATTTAATATGCGGCAAATGCTAAAAATAAATTACTAATAAGCTTCGGTGACCGTTCCAAGGCTACTGCCTGTGACAGGCCAAAAACACATTGAGCGAAAATTATACTGGTGTTCACATTGGCCTTCAAGGGTAACAGAAAGAAGCTTTGAAAGTGCATGAAAGTGCTGGGAAATGTTAGCTGGAAAATATCTTGGGACATTTAACAGTGTAATTAAATTTGCTTGAAGTTGAAGCAATATAAAATGATCTCAGCTTTCCTTTAGCTCTCCTTAGGTTACCCATAAAAAAAGGCACATAATTATACGAGCGATAAATGGATAGTAAATTCTAAAGTAATATTCTATATTCAAACACCTGTTGCCATGCCCTTATGTGGTCTATAAATTAAATTAATTAAATTTTTTATTGAAGTTGAAGCAATATAAAATGATCTCAGCTTCCAATTAGCACATAATTATACCAGCGATTAATGGATAGTAAATTCTATAAAAGAATCTGTTGCCATGCCCCCCTATGTGGTCTATATCCTTCCTAATGTCAGTGCATCCTCCTGTCGTACTTTTTCTTGATTTTTAGCTGGCGCCGTAATGTCCCTTAGCCTCTTGATTGAAAGTATTCTATATGCTGTGATTCCATTGTATTGTCACTATTCCCTAGCCGAAAAACAAGACGCTGCAGAGCAGAACGAACGCTTTAAACTACAAAAAAGCTTTCGCTCCTCTCTCTCTCTCTCTATCTCAGTTTTCTCTCTCTCTGTCTCTTTGTAGGGGAAAACTTTTGGGCAGCAAAGAGATGTGAGAAGGCTGCTCATAACAATGAAACTTTTGCACGCTTTGGCAATTATGTGAGTGGGCTAACACACACACACACACACACACAGAGATACTTATGGCAACACACACACACTGATACACACATACACTGATGTGCGGCACTGGCATGTGTGTGTGTCTCAAAGAATCCTTTGGCCAAATTAACCCACTTTTGCAGCATTCCAAAATGTTTTCTTAGCTGCGTCTCAGCAGTTGTACAATTTTCCATTTTCACAGCTTGTTTTCCATTTCTCGTAGAATTTTTTCTTACCGTTTTCCTATTTTTTTTTGGTTTTGAAGTTTCTCTACAGGACGAAGGTCCTTCAGCAATTGACCAAACTTTTTGTTTGGTTTTCATTGAGCATTTTCCCGTAGAGAGAGAGAGAGAGAGAGATATCTCTCTTGATGGGAAAACTTCACACTATCGCATGGCTCAACCCCCCCCACCCCCTGTCACTAGCTGCCATTTTGGAAAGTGCCTTTCTATGTTGAATGTTGAAAGTTGAATGTTGAGTGAATTTATGTTGCAAATACTCCTCGTAGTCGTATTTATTTTTTTTGCTTTACGACTCCGACTTGACTGCTCCTCAAGTTGTAATCACAAAAAATATGCAAAGGGAATGCACGCAAATGCATTTGGGGTATGCGCCCCCACACACACCCACACACACACACACACACACACACATTTTTGCGCCATGAATATGCAACTTCCGTGGGTCACTAAAAATTTGCATTTACCCCGCCAGAAATTGCTGCATGGCACGAAAGGGGGAGTGGAGGTAACCTCAACTGGTGGCTCATTAAAATGCTTTCGACTTTGCCCAGAGCCAAAGTCCAAGCTGCTGCTAATGGGGGAGGCTACCCCTCTCACACTCCACGACTTGGAAACGCATTCAAAGAAGGCAGTAAAAGTGTATGAGGGATGGCTAATGCGTTGCACTGTCAAAGCTTGCCACAAATTGCACTTGCCCCTACCCTAACGCTCGTTCACGGAGTGACCAAAGCGACCAGCGAAGCGAAGCGCATGACTGAGCTCCAACCAAATTACAATGGCCATAAAAAATGCGTGTCCTGCCAGTCGCCGACAGTCGGTGTCGGTGTGTGTCTCAGCTGTGTGTCTGTGTGTGTGTCTCTGTTAACTCTTTTTCCATTTAGTGGCTATTAAAAATGGCTGAATGTTGTGTCAGCCACAGATAATGAGCATGCAAAAAACTTGACTCGCGGCTAAGTGAAAATTTCTGTTCAAAGTTCTAACAAAAAAAAAAAAAAAAAAAAAAAAAACGATAAAAGCGGTAAAGGCTAGAGGCTTGAGGCTTGAGGCTTGAGAGTCGAAGTTTATGATGCCCTGGGAAAGCTTAGATTTAAAAGGCTAGATATGGGTTATAGTAAGTGGATTGAAGTCTACTTTGGAATCTCTTTTAAATAATTTTGGATGGGATTGTCTTCAGACAGAAGGCTCCTATAAGAACTTACCTTTCCACTGATACTTTGTATGGCAGGATTTTATATAGTGACCCAAACTCAGAGGTTATCATGTCTAGAACTCGAGAAAATGCTTTCCGCATAAATCTCATAAAAAAACAGAGGAATAATAATAATAAATACCAAATAAATTCCAATACCAAAATAAATTCCAAATACTATGGAGGAGGAAGAGGAAGTAAGCCTCGAATTCCAACCAAACGAAAGATAGAAAAATTAATGCCACATAGTATATTATTTAGTAGGGTAAACAATTCACCAAAAATAATTCTGCTTCATATAAATATTATATTAAATATTTGTTGTGGCAATTGGGAAACCGTGGAAGCCGTGGGGCACTCCTCTTTAATCTACTTCAATGCCTCCGTATGCTTGGAGCTCTCCAGTCGTATGGCCTGGATGGCATTGCTATTGACCAAAAAATTCAAACGCAAACCGCAAATCTCCAGCAGATTGTTGTGGGCCAGACGCGTCTTGTGGCCCTGCAGCAGCGGCTTGCCACTCACATAGATGGCCCGCTTGCCCTCGTTGGAGATGAAGAAGTCGCCGTTGCTGCGCAGCTTGATGGTGCCCTGGTGGCGTGAGATTTTCGCTGCATGGCCCTCCAGCGAGAGATCCACATCCACCGAAAAATCCGTGGCATCGCGGCCGAATGTGATCTCGTTGTGCTGCATCATGTAGCGCACCTGCTGGCCGCACAGGCAGGCAAGCGTATCGCTGTCCAGCTCCTGGCTGGCCGCATTCGGTCCCATGCCAGAGTCCACCAGGACGGACAGACGGGACATTTCGTTCTCCAGCAAGCGAACGGAACGCTTGTTGCGGCGATTCTGCAGCTCCAGCTCCTTTTCGAGGGCCTCGTCCAGCTGCTCATCCAGATCCACATCACAAATATCGTCCTCGACATCGGAGAAGCTCGGCGGATGGGGATCCGGTCCATCGAGCGGAATCACCTGGTCGGGCAGCAGATAATACTTCTGCATGAGCAGCCAATGAGCGCTGAGGTCCTTGGCGGTGCGCGAGCGCCAAAAGCAGGCCGCATGCTTGTCGAGCAGCTCCTGGAACTGCTCCAGCGTGGGACTGTCGGTGCACTTGAAGGTGGCCAGCAGAGCCTCCTCCCTCTTGCTGAAGATCGCCTTCTTGTGCACCGATTCCACCATCTCCGGGTGCAGATTCCCAATGGCCGTGAGGGCCAAACGGGACTGGCACGGGGCGTACAGCAGCGCACACCAGCGTTGCTGCACCTCCTGCAGCGTGAAGTTGCACGAGAATTTCGTGGCACTGTGCACAATGCACAAATCGTTGGTCTGCTCTACGCCAATCATCAGAGCCAAGTCGTCAATGGGCTTCCAGCGGCTGATCGTCAATGAACCACCCCTTTTCTTTAAGCTGAATCCAATTGGTTGGGCTTCTTGTGAATCCTGCGGCTCCTCGGGTTCTTCTTTGGGCCCAAAAATGGGCGTCGGAATCGAGCTTTCTCGACGAAATCCCATTTCTGGCTTGGTCGGACGATCCATGTCCCAGGTGAGGATGTACTGAAAGAGCTGGAAAATATTTTATTCGTGGTCTGTGGATGGACATCTGCGACTAACCTGAGTATTCGATGAGTCGCTTGAGTGGGGAAACTCAAAAGTTATACTGGAAATTCTATGGTCAGAGTATAGGTAGAGCGTTTGTTGAGGTGCAAGGCTGCGGTATTAGGATACTTACAGGACTAACAGGATAGTCGAATGAGCTACCAACGCTGGAGATATTTTTTCTAAGCAGCGAACGTTTTATTTTGCTGCGTTTCGGGTTCGTTTTTCCAACTCAAATTAATTTATTTTTGGCTGGAACTTTCTTTGTTACTTTTCGATGTGATTCAACTTTCCGATGTGATTCAACTGATATTTTCTTTCGCTATGCCTTTTTTGATTGCTGCTGACAAACTGTCAGTTTGTAGTTACGACTTGAGCAGTGTTGGAAAACTCGTAAAAGTGCAACAGAACCTGTAACCTGTAACCTGTAGTGTTGGAATTGACACATGGGTTCTTGTAGTGTTGGAAAGCAACGCACAGTCTTTTAAATTTGCATTAAATTTGCGCCCATGAAGCAAATCCATCATGGCCTTCAAGGCCTTTCTAATGCCTAATGAAACGTGCCATGGCCCCAAAAATCCTCAAAACTGTGTAAAATACTTTGTCGCGCGACAAAAGAAGTTTTCGCCCCCTTTGGGAGAGGCAGCTATTTAGCGCACATTTAGCAACCAACCAAGAGGACACAGCAGAGCAGAGCATCTCCATAGCATCCGAAGAACAAGGAAGGGCAAGCATGGCGACAAGCCGAACTAAGGCGCGGACAATAACGACAGCGACAAGGACAAGGAAACAAGGATGCAGATGCAGTCGCCCAGTGACAATAATTTAATTTAATGTGTTTGCATGCAGCAGCGGCAGAAGCAGCAGCAACAGCAGCAGAAGCGACGGCGGCAGCAACAACGTTAACAGCCAAGGAGGATGTTGGGTCCTGTGCCCTGGGCCTGAAGATAACTCACAATTTGTGGCCGCTGCGTGCGCGTTTCTCTCACTCACTCTCTCTTTCTCTCTCTCTGACTCACTGTGGCATCTCTCTGGCTGCAGCCAAAGGCAAAATTTATGGCTCCTTCCGTTTCCCATCGGCCCTGCTCTGGCCCACTCCACCGATCTTTTGGGCTGGAGATTGGGTGGGGTGGGTAAATTCATGCTGAAATTATTAGTGTAAACATTTTGCATTTAATTAATAATGCGCTCTGGGGAGGAGAACTGCCTGCCAAACGAGAGCAGAGGGAGAAGGCGTGGAATGGAAGCGCGTTGACAGGATGGTCCGCGAAAGTATCATTGAAGTTGGAAAGTTTTTGGGGACTGCTGCTGCTGCTGGCTGTTGGTGCAAGACTGCAAGTAATTCGATAATAATGAGCTGGCAAGTGGGGAATATGCTGCCAGAGAGGACAGCCTATTGATGAGTAGTATGTGTCGCAAGGAAGGTTTTATTGAGCATATCATATGGTATTAAGAATCATATATAGCACAAGGGAACGACTTGAGCAGTACATACAACTGACATTTGCATTTTATGCTTTATATTTTCGTAGTATTCCAGTGTTTTCCAACACATAAAACCCAAAAGTTACTGGCAACACTATCAATGTCCAGGGACTATTCAGAGATCCAATAGCAGCACTCTGAAGCCTTTTCGAATCATCCCTGCAGTCAATGTAGTAGGCCATGCAGTTTCCATAAAATCGAATAAATATTTCCGGTTGGAAAACTTTTATGGCAGTTTAATTTGGGTCCCACAAGCGGTATCATTAAGTCGCTCTTTATTTTCCAAAATATTGGGCAAAAATCAGCGCTATTTATCCACATTCTGCGCAAGTTAAAAACCAGTTTAGAAGTAGAATGGTGCTTCAGCTTAAAGCAAAATAAAGAAAAATAATAAATAAAAAATAAATAAAATTAAAAAAATTGTGAAAAATAATTTAAATTATTAAAAATTAATACTAATTATAAGAAAAAGCACATGATAAAAATTTTTGTAATCTATGTATAGATCCCTTTTTTGTTTTTCTAAGCATGATCAATATCTGAATAATTGATTTTATTATTATTACTCTTCTAGATTCATTTCAAATTTAGTTTCAATGTGATATTATTCTTTGCAAGATCTCAACTGTCAGATTAAACAATATCTATAGAAAGTAGTCGTTTTCTCCCCCCCAGAAATTACACCAATAAAGCCATTTAATGTTTCGCTTAGAGCCCTTGGGCCTACCCCAATAGAAATTCAATTGCTTAAGGCCTAAATCCGCTCCTTTACTCCACTCTCTGTCTGCCCTTATCTGTTCATTTGTCTATCTGTCTCTTTCTTTACTTATGGCCAGGGCATAAATTGTCTGGACATTTTCTAGACATCATAATATACGGGGGGGCCATAATAAACATGCGACAACAGAAAAGAACAAACAAACGAACGAAAATCAAAATAAGCTTTTGGGGAAAAGTGAAAGGAAGCAAGGAGAACTTGAAGCTTTAACCAGAGAGAGCGAGAGAGAGAGAGAAAGAGACAGTTAGAGAGTGAGAGTGAGAAGGCAGCTCAAATGCGATGTAATGAGCATAAAACTGGTAGCAGAACCGCAGAAAATGTGGAATGGGGGCATAAAGGAGGAACTGGGTTATAGAACGGGGAGGGCAGATCTATAGGCAAGGGATGTTGGTCGGCTGGAGAGGGGAGTGGAGTGGTTGAGAGCTGAGGTGCCAAGACGACCGTAAATCTTTTTGTGGCGCTTTCAAGGTAAAATAACAATTAAAGTTTATTACTGGATAAGAGACGAACCATAAGAATAAAGCAAAAATATAAAAAGGAAAAAAAGACACAAAAGACACAAAAGACAGAGGATGACCACAACAACAATGAGAGGGGGGAAGGGTGGATGGAGACACCACACACACACTCGCACGAAATTCTACGATATATGACAGCGAGTGAGCTCAGCGAGGGGGGAGTGAGAGTTTCCAGGAGAGCCGAAGGATTTGCTTCTGCTAACTTTTGCTTTTATTTCGAGCACAAAAAAAGTTTTGAAAGCTAATGAAAAAACATTGAAGAAGAAGGTTCGAGTCTAGAGATACCCTTGAAGATTTATCTTTTTTTTATACCCGTACTCAAAAAAGAGTTAAGGGGTATATTAGATTTGTGGTAAAAGTGGATGTGAGTAACGCAGAGAAGGAAACGTTTCCGACCCCATAAAGTATATATATTCTTGATCAGCATCAATAGCCGAGTCGATAGAGCCATGTCTGTCTGTCCGTCTGTCTGTCTGTCTGTCTGTCTGTCTCGATGAGCGCCTAGATCTCAGAGACTATAAGAGCTAGGGCAACCAAATTTGGTTTCCAGACTCTTGTGATATCCCACTGTTACAAGTGTATTTCAAAATTTCGCCCCGCCCCCTTCCGCCTCCACAAAGGACGAAAATCTGTGGCAGGCACATTTTTAAAGATACGATAAAACTAAAAACGCAGTGTCGTAGAGAATGCCCATATCTACCAGACTGCCGAATCTGAATCAGATCGGATCATAATTATAGCCAGAATGAAGAAATTAATTTTCAGTTGCTTCCCCTTCCCCCTCCTGACGAATTCAAGCAAGTCATTTTCCTTCTCGCTCGCAGATGTAGCAAAAAAATGTTAAATGTAAAATTTTTTTTTTAATTCTAAAATTCTAAAAAATCATATGCTTAAAAATGTTTATGCTGACTGAGTACGGGTATAAGTAGAGTCGCGTCCCCAGAAGCGACTCGCACGTTCCTTCTCGTTTTTATTAATTTTATTTTATTTTATTATTCATTTATTTACATTTTTTACGGATCAACACATTACCATAAAATTTTACTTATTTTTCAAGGGATTAATTATTTGTTGGGATATGCATAGCGACACAATCCAAATAAAAGCACTTTAAATGCTTCCAAATACTCATCTATTTATTTACATTGAAAATATGCCAGCAAAATCATCATACCCTCTCGAAGGGAATACAGATTGGGAGCAGGAGGCAAGGCCATGCTGATGATACGATTATAAAGGGAGACAGAATGTTGAGGAACTCTCCCAGCGCAGCTTTTATATAGATTGTCACAGTTGTTGGTTCGCTTTTGCTTACAAATCTCTCGTGTCGAGATTTTCTTTTATGGCACAGAGATACAGAATTAACGGACAAACTACTTCGAAGTTGTAAGAACCTATCTCAGGCTCAGGCTGGGATATGTTATCAGTCTGTCCAGGGTTCTGAATTACAAGATAATTTATAATTCACGAGGACTTTATTGCCAGCAACTGAAATAAAATGCTTAGCGAAATCTCAATACTTTGATTGATTTTAATGTGTATCTTTATTTTCCGTCTTATTCCGCTACCGAGATATGTTTTGTATAAGGTTTTTTTTTTGTTCTACGACGCGGTAGGGGGGTTCTTTGTTGTCCGACTGCCTTCGCTCCATGCCAGGCAGTGCGTTTTATGGGTTGGCCGGCCATCGATTTTCCCACCGATCTCTTGCATAAGTTCCGAGTGTTGCTGAGAGTTGGCAAGGGAATAACATATATATTGTTCTGTCTCCTGACTTATGGGCAGACCGATTGGTCGGCAACAGAGGGTTACCTAACCATCAGCCCTCAAGACAGTGTCCCATCTCCAGGTGGAAGTGGCATTAAGTTGGGGGATTTTTGGTGGCGCTTAAAGTAAAGCCAGCATCAGAGTTCCATCAGTCCAATCTTTCAGTTGATTTCTGCTCAACATTTATCCCATTTGGTTGCTTGTTTTCTCGCAGTGTAGCTCAAAGACAGCCACCTGTGTGCCTTGGCCTGGCCTTGGAGTGGGCAAACATGAGCGGCGCCACTTAATGGCCAAAAACAGTTGAAGGAAGTGGCGCTGCTGATGCTCCACCGCCCTGTCCCGACTGCCACTCTGACAGAGTGCCTGTCCATGGCCCATGGGTTACGGGGACGGGGACGGGTACGGGGACGGAGACTCCTCTCTCTCTCTCTCTGTCGCTCTGACAAATCACAATTCGATTGTCTCTACGTGTCACTTACAGGACCTACAGGACCTGTACGAGGGCTGGGGCTGCATTTAGGCAGCGCCAGCAACGTCCTTCCATTATAGAATCAGTGTTCCATCGCCTTGCCCACCGCCTCTTTTCTGGCCTGGCAAACAAAGCAGTTAATGGCTTGCAAGCTTGAAACAACTGGCAGCTGTGGGAGGCCATGGCAATGGGCGAGGAAAATCTGTGTGTATGTTTGAGGGTGGATCCTGATTTTTCAGAGCCTTATATCAGTTCTAATGTCCTGGTTTTTGGGCTACTGCCAGCGCTGGCGCCTACCTTTTGCTCCATTCCATT